GGGAGGACGGTCGCCTTCGCTCTCCCCACCGGGGAGCCGCGGGCGGGGGAGCCGAGCTCTGCGTGCGAGGGGACCTGCCCTTGGCATCGGCGGGCAACGAAATCCGGCGGGGTGCGTGACGCGCCGAAGCCGGCTGAAATTAAAAATGCAGAAAACTGCAGTCCCGGCCCAAGGAACTCGGAGCTGAAAGGCTGAGCTGGAGCCGAGCGAGGGGATGGAGGAGGGAAGGGGGAAGGAGTCACGGCTCTGCCCTGAGGCCGGTGCTAGGCAGCCCATGGGCCGGCCAAATGGTCCCTCTGGCTGGCTTTGGTGATCCTAAACCTTCAGGCTTTTGCAGCCGGGCTTTGCCCCTTAGCAGAGAAAGCCTTGGGGCCACGGGTGCCATTTGGTCTGTGCGAGGCATCCCGATTCGGCTCAGTGGCTTGTTGAGTGTTGCTGTTTCCCTGCCGTGGTTTTTGTTGTTTCGTCTCGATTTTGGCAGCGTGCTTGGGTCCGCTCCCGCTAACTCAATGCCAGGAATGTCGCTGCGGGTGGCATGCGGGACCGGTTTTGGAGAGCGGGCGCAGGCAGGGAGCACGCGGTACCAGCCTCTGCGGCAGGTGACGCTGCACGGGGGTGGCAGTCTGGGCCGGACGGCTTCCCTGGAGCTCTTCTTGAGGCGCCTGCGTCCCGCTTCAGTCTTTGGGGGTGGTTTCTTTGGAAAGAAGAAGAGTAAGAGGGACTGTGACAAAAGTCTAAAAGATTGCATGGTCAGGGAATGTAAGTTCCAGAATTTGTTTCATCGGTCTTGCGGTGCAAGGACAAAGGGTGCTCAGTGGGATCGTGAACCAGGCAAATGTAAAACCAATAAAAGGAGGAGGCTTTTTTCCACTTCTCTGACTGCTGTGTGAGGTCTCCTGCCACAGAACGCCATTGAATTAATGGAATTTAATGAAGTGAAGAGGGAAGGGATTTGTCCTGGAGATCAGTGGAAGTGCCCAGGGCTGGCACAGGCCACGGCAGTGCCTCAGCCCTGCGCACCGGGGCTCCAGCCAGCCTCTGGCTGGGGAGGTTGGGGTGGTCCTGGTGGAGGAAGACCGTCATGCGTCTGTTCCCATGAGGCTCCTGCAGCTCTTCCTTGTTTGTGCCTCTGATGCCGGCTGCAGTGGAAGACCCGAGGGACTGGTAATTGTGATGACGTGGTCTGATCCTGCTTGTGATTCCCGTGTTGTGGGACAGAGAAGCTGCCAACTGAAATAGTGCTGTAGGAAACCTGGCTGTTACTCCTGAGTCGCTCATAGGGCCACCTCTGCAGGCAGAGCGCGGCTGCCCAACCCTCCCACGCTCCCTGCGTCCCTGCCCCTTGCACCTCGTCTCCCTCCCTCTACGGTGGGGACGTAGAGCCGCTCCCCTGGGTGTCGGGTGTGTGTGTCCGTCCCTCCCCAGCTGCTGTCTGTCCTCGCCTGCCGCTGCCCACCCGTGCCCCGTCCTGCGCCACTTGAGCACGGGTAAGCTGATGGGGAGCACGTTGGCGTTTAGGTGCGTCTCTTAGCAACGTCACTCGTGGTGCGTGTTTTCTCCTGCCGCTCAAAGGCAGGCGTGAAAACAAAATTCTTTCACACGCAGCTGCAAGCGGTCAGGGCTTCCCAAAGCTGGATGGCAGCTGTCTCGTTTAACCCAAAGATGAGGCGTGAAGAGTGACCAGCACACTAGCGGGTGGCCATGGCGGACCTTGCTTGGCATCATGCAGGGCTGTGTGACGGGGCTGGAGGCCAGGTCTCCTTGGGGGCTTTGCCTGCTCCAGCCACAGACCTGTCCTGTCTCTTCTGGCCCTTCCCTGCCTCCTCCCTCCTTTCTTTCCAGCTGTGGATTTGGCAGAGCAGGAATCCCACAGATTTCCTTATCTTGGCTGCGTTCCCCGCTTACCTGCTAGGCACAGGGTTAAATCGTGATCCTAGTGAAAAGTGCACTGTGATTGTGCAGTTACAGGCAATACGTTACCAGGTGTGTGTGAGAGACTGGGTTAATGGTGGGGGTAATTAACCACTGGAAGAGTTTTGCTGGAGATGTTATCGTTTCTTGAAGTGCCCGAGTCTGGAAGGGAATATCCTTCTAAACTGTGTGTTTTGGGCTTGATACAGAAATTGCTGGAAGAGGGTTTTAATTTTTTGGTTTGTTTATGTTCTGGATCCAAAGATCAGACTGTGTGACCGTAACGACTGCTTCTGGTCCTAAAATCTGTTATGGAAGTTGCCAGTGAAATCCCAAATTCAACTTCCTAACATCGAGTGCAGGATATTGCAAGACTTGCTCACGTCCTCTTACCAGATTCTTTTTCTGCAGGCAATTCCTTTATTTTTAAAAGGGAAAAAGGCAGGGGCCAGTTCCTTTCCGCAGCGGTAGTGGTGTGCCCGAGCCATCCACCCTCCGGCCAGAGTTGGGGTTGCCATCGCTTCTGTGCAGGTTTTCACCTTTGGAGCAGTGTTGGCAGGTAGGAGAGGGAGGCGTTAGCAGAAAGTGTGTTAGAAACCTTGTGGTTTTGTGGCTCATGCTGCAGACAGCATTGCCAAGCAGGGAGATAGAGTGGGTGTTGGGTAGGCTGCTGCAGCCGAGAGCCCTGGTAGCCCTGCCGGGTTGAGGGGAAGGAGCCTTTTCCCAAGGAGGAACGAGAAGAGCTTGGAGTCAAACACCGGGCAAAACAGGCGTGCGGACGGAGCCTGCGGCTGCTTGCCAGTCAGCCTCTCCCGGGCCTGGACGGAGGTGTTGTTGAGTGTTGCTGCGGGAGGAAAGGGAAATCTGCTTTATTTTGGTCTCCTCCTTGTAGCTGGAGCTTCGCTTAGAGGCTGCGGCAGGAGAGAAGGCTGTTGGGCACCCAGGGCTGGGGAAGGCGGTGGGTTTGGCTGGTGGCCAGTGTCAGCTGAATCATAGGCAGAACCCGGTGGTTTTCAGTAGTTTCTAACCGCCAAATTTGGACAGATTTTCAGGGGGCTAGCAAAAAGCGTTTCCCTCATCCCAGGCTTGTTTCTTTGCCAAATTTCAGAGACTGCTGCAAGCTGCTGAGCTCTGTAAAAGATTTTATATGTGCATAAAGCAAAATGATACGCAACTTTAGTTCTGAGGTTGGTACAACCCCTGCTTGTAATAAATGTGACCTCTAACTGTGTTAGTCTGGAACAGACTATATACAGAATTATATTAATAGAATTTGTAATTAGAACAGTAATTGCACAGCACTTAATTTCTTTCATAGAAGTGACCAAAACGCGGGTTCTAGGCAGAGAGAATGATGCCGATGGTGCAGAGAATTACCTGAGGGATGCGCAGGACTGGGACTGCGAGTTACATGGGGCAGCAGGAGCCAGCGTGGATCCATGGACACACAGGAGAGAGTGAGCCGGGAAGGTGGAGATGCGGGAGGATGATCACAGTGCGGGGCTGAGAAGATGGTTACACTGAGGTCTTCTGTGTGCATAAAGTAACAAAGGCCAGGAGGGAGGAGGTGGAAGATAGGTGAGGAGAAGTAGGTGAGATCCCTCAACAGAGCTTTTGTCAGATGATAGGAATTTTTTCTTGACTTTAGCTGTCGTGCACATGTCTTGCAGCCCACCTAAAGGCTCAGCTCTCAGGAAAAGCTTGGAGAAAGTTGTCAGCCATGGTGAGAGGAGTTGGTGGCCAGATAGCAGGAGCAAGAATCTCTCTGTTTGAATGAGGGTAGTCAGAGATTTACCCGGAGTGTGTGTTTTTTCCATTTATTGTCCTTTCACACCCCTCCAACACACTTCTAAACTCGATTTGGTTCCTTTCTGCATTTTAAGAAGTGAGATTAGTTTGGAAAAGCTTTCCTCTACATTTTTCAGCTGTTGCTTCTCTGGCAGAAGCACAGGATGAAAAAAGCCCTGGAGAATGATCTGCTGATAGCAGACTGGCAGTTAACTGTGGCTCTGCATCTGGCTTCTGCTGGGCAGGAGTTGCCTTTGAATGTTGGCTTTGCATTGCTCCAGGTCCCAGCTGTTTTGGTGGGTTTAAGACCAGAATGGACTGTTGGGTCACTTGGTAGGAACACTTTCACCCCAGAATTTTAGCCTTTTCCCAATCAGCTAGATCTAAGGCATCTGGTTAAGGCATATCTTTGAGATACAGTTACAGTCTAGGGCCTTGCTACCTTAGGAGTTTTTCTCCATTATTAGCCATCTCACTGTTCATAATTAGTGTAATTTTTTTCAACAGGCATCTCCAACGTTCTGGATTTTTTTTTTTTGCATTTCTTTCTAAGAGTAAGTAGTCCTTTGATACTGGGTATTTTTTTTTTAAAGCTGCTTGTACCAATTAATGAGGTCACTTTGATTCACAAAGCAAAATCGGAGGCAGGAGTTGCTATTGATGCAGTACCTTCTTGAGGAAGACAAGAATGATGCTCACTGGAGTCCTCCCAGTGTCCTGCCTTGGTTCTGGGGAGCCCCGTGCTGCCAGGCCACGCATAGGGTTTGCCGGCATGTCCTTGCTCAGCTGAATCAGCCTCAAGTAAATTACACCCTTTGGGAAGGAGACTGTTCTGCTTAGCTAGCTTTTTCCTGCTAATTCCATGACCTCTGCAGAATTGCCCTGTTTATGTGTGCCTGTAAGTTCCCGAAGGCTTGGAAACCACAGGGAACGGTGGCGGGGTGTGGTGTGAGGAGCTCTGCTCCGTCTCCTCCAAGAGCAGAAAACCTCAGAGCCATCAGTGCTTCTCTGCTCCCGGGGCTGGAGCCGGGCATCCCGGGGGGCTGTGCGTCTTCTGCCGTGCTGCCCCTTCTGCATGCTGGATCGGGGCA